CGCAATGGCACCTTATGGACATCTAGGTTGACATCTGAAACTTAGAAGGATCAAACTTAACGATTTGGTAATAGATCAGAATTTACTGGATGTCTAGATATCCAAGGAGCGAAACTAATGCCGCAGCTCTCAGATCAAACGTCTTATGGTGTACTAAGCGATGCTCTGCAATTCACACTGCAGAAACTGCCTGATTCTTTCGACCGTTATGAAAGATTGAGTTTTGTGGCCAAACATACCGAGTTTCAACGCTACAGAAATGTCGAATAATAAAATTGTATATTAGTATTATTATTATTACGAAATAAAATCATGTATATTGCAAACACTCAAAACTATGGAGCTGTCATATGATCAAATGGTTCCCCAGGCAAGTTGGAGCAACGTGGAAGAAACGAGTCGGGTGCAATAGGTCATGAAATCTGCTTTGGTCAAGTGGTACACGGGCAATCGTACTACAGCTATATACCTTGCATTATCCTCCAACGAGTCTACAGCTGAGGTTCTATATCTTGTTCAAAAGTTTTATCCAGAAGTTCCATTTTGTCATACCACCAAGAGCGTCGGTGCTTGAGCCGTTTCAATATCCATTCTCTTCGCTGCACCTGCCTTTCCATTCAATGAATGAAAGTTTAGGGCTTGGCAGTTTATCGCCAAAGAATTCCAGCTTTCAGCAGAAATGACTTGTACTCCAACTATTTGCCAATATTCGACAGAGAGCATTGCAGGAAGTGGCCCCCCGTTTTTGCACAACTGATACCCTGAGGCCATATATTAGAGAAAATAGTATACATAATGTTTTTACCTTGTACTGATTATGAAAATGAATGATCAGTCATCAGTTTGGTCAAGGCAAATTGCAGCTTTCAAAGACGTTTACATCAAACAGCACGGCTGCATGCACCACTTGTTCATTTCCGTGTGGTCACTCAAAAACGTCATGCTGACTCTTTTGTTCGGACCAGTGATTTGCTACCCATTCCTCGACTGAAACACACCAAAGGAGCAGGGAAATGTTTGCTGAATCAGCAGAAAATAAAAGCTTTTGTTTACAATTTTGAACCCGATACCTCCGAAGTTCGAAGCCGAACAATCATCACTTTTCCGCAGCCCCTAAAGCTGATTTCGAGATTAAGATCATTCAACACATTCTTACTGGGCAATCTCTATGCGGTTGGAAACTGGTTATAAATTCGTTTGCTTCAAATTGCCGCTTTTTTCTGAGATTGTGCTGAAGCGGAAAACCAGCAGTGTACCTTCCAAAAGTACCTTCTGGATGTTGGTCGTGGCACTTTTTGTTTACGTGACTCGTGACTCTGACTTGTAATCTCAGATTCACGGATATATTGCCCTTGTGGTAAATTTAATCTTTATTTGGGAATATTTCCGTGGCACGATGATGTTAATCGACGGAAAGTCGGTTAGAAATATTGTGTTATTTGAGCTGCGAGTAGGCTACCAGACAGTGCTACACTCCTCCGCATGAGACACTTAATCAGGAAGTCGATAAACATAGACGAAAAACGTCCTTAGGAACTCCTGCTCCTCTTCTTCCTCCTTAGGAACTTTCAGGAATTCCTCCTCTTATGTTGAATAGGTCTGTCAGTGATCCTTTTCTCTCATGTCTTTCATGATGCAGTCTTTCTGTGAACTTAGTGGTCCTGTGGAAAAGCCTATTGCTACAGTACTTAAGTAACATGTTTTTAATTAGACAGTACACCGAAAACTGGCTAAGACCCTTACCAAAACGTCAAACACCTGTCACACATGAATTTTGATTTTTACGACGTTTAGAACTGTCGATTTTAGTTTCATGAATTTTGCTGTAAGATGTAAAGTCAATGTGTGGTAGATTATGACATTATTATGA